TAAACAACAACTTACAGAGTAACTTTCAGACACAAAATTCCGTTTTGCTCCGTCAGAAAGAAAATAGAACAAACAGCAGAACCGCTGCGTCTCCGAACAACAGTGTTTTGTTCCTCAGCGTTACACGGACCAGCAAATGATTAAATCAGGCTATAAGTATGTACGGTCGTTTGCAAAGTTAAATTAATCAGCTTTTTAAACGAATCGGTTGATTCAACTCACTCATTAAGACAGTCACAAGTAGCTTATTTCATTTTTGCAATCATTTAATATTTCTACATGAAAATGTTATATTTAAACTTAACATTTATGCACAATCCATCTATGAATTTAGTTGATAGTGATTTCATTTGATTGTTTATAGCCAGCATGTCTTTTTATTCGATTGAATTTATTGATTAAATAACCTGACATAAGAGGACACAGATATGACAATAACTTTTATAATACTAATAAGCCAACATCTCTGGCTTTTGTTTTTGCTCAAAGTTATTTCAGGGTTTTGATCTCTCAACTGAGAGAACACATCTTGTTTATTATATTATAATGAATATTTAATATTACATTTAAACTTTGACTATAGCCTAGACATGTTGCATATTAAATGTACTATTTATGAACCTCAAAGCATATGTTTATGTATTTTGTGTTGCTCCATAATGATGTTCTATTTGAGGGCATTTGTAGTATAGGTATAGGGCCCAAACATAACCTCAAGCCCAGGGGCCCCCGTCCCCCTAAGTCTTGCCCTGTATATACATTTATTGCTATTGTAATAAATGTTTGTAATTTCAACAGTAAAAGTGCTACATTACCTGTTAGTTAATGGCAAGTTACTATATGTGGTGAAAAACTGTAATAGATCTAATGGGACATTTTAAGTAATTTTGCACAAAATCCTGTCAAATGTACAGACTTTGCAAGTAAAAGTCAAGAGTTATCTTTGTAAAAAATCTAAAGCTTGTATTCCCATAATTCACTATGTGAGACTTTGCTTTTGGTTGCATTTTGATTAAACATTTATGTTTCTTTGTTTTTGTTATCAGTTATGTGCATTTGGGCTTTATGCTACATCTTACACCATGATAGTGTTTTGTATTTGTGTGTATGACACTGTGTACCTTTCTATACAAGGCTTGCTTAGTTGGGGACGCTTGACTGATTGCACAGACACTAGAGAACTGAACTGGATGATGACATCACTGAATCTCCAATGAACTGACTTTAGCTGAAAAATGCCTCTATTGTCTTCTTGCATTATTGACAAACTATTTCCCTGTTTGACACTGTAAAGCTGCTTTGACACAACCAGTATTGTATAAAGCGCTATACAAATAAAGTTGTAGACTTGACTTGACTTGACAAGTATATACCTCTGCTTGTAATAAGGCTACTTCCTCATGTGTCTATTTACCGTCTGTGTTATTATGGTGGTTATCGGTGTATAATACAGGTACAAAAAAGTAGTAGTATAGGTTTAGGGTTGGCTGCTTGTAATTATGCATAATTTACTGTTATTGCTGTAGTAAGTACACTGAGTATGTTTACATGGACAACAACAATATTCTGATATTAAAGGGATAGTTCACCCACACCCAGAAGTGTATAGTACCGAAGACGAACTGTATGTTGATACGTGAAATTCTGGAGGGAATGTCGGATGGCGTCACGTGGGAATGTAATGACGTATGCCATTAATCGATCTATGTACTATAACATGTAAAAGGGGAACATGAAAGGAATATTCTAAAAGCAACTCATGTAATCACCTTAATCATAATATTGGCTTATTCAGAATAAGGTAAATAATTAGATTACTGATGTAAACATACTGTAAATAAAATAAACATGGACACTGTAAATAAAGTTCTACCCAGAAACAATTAAGATATTTTAATGAATAAACA